AGTGTGTGTTCCCCTCTGTAGTATTATTATTATCTATCCTGTGGTAAATTATGCGAGGGATAATTATAGTGCCTTAATGTTTTGATTTGAATAAGCGGCACTAGAACATAAAGTTCAACTATTAGACCGTTCGCTCTCTCTCTCTGTGTGTGTGTCTGTGTGCTGGAGTCAAAAGCAGTTTGGCTGAAGAGTCTTAGGCTGCGTTCAGGCTTGAAGCTCAATTCGGATTTAATTTCCAATTAAATGTGACTTGTATGTGATCTCCAGTGTGAACTTTAAACGCCCCAAAAGTGTCCCGCATGCGCACTGGAGGACACGACGACGTCACATGCAGCGAGCGTGCTCAGTGTTCACGGAAATCACCTAAACGATGTAGCCAGGCCGGCGCCACCTAGTGCCTCTACTCAACAGGAGGGTTTCAGTCACGTGATCACGATGATGCGCGAATTTCAGGCGGAGGGCAGGAAGTGAAGACAAACACGACAAACAAACGCGGCTCTGAAGAACACAGATATGGAGAAGAGTTCTTATTGTCAGGATTTAGAGCCAGGAGCGAGGCAAAAGTACGAGCAGTTAGTCGACAAATATATTGGACGTGACCCTGATCTTATTGAAAATGAGAGAATTTTCAACCGAAGTAAAAGATTTGCCCACAGTTGAGGCAGAGGAGATCACCAACTATTTAGCTCTTCAGACATCGTTCTACACCAGACAACAGATGAAGTTGTACAAAAGTTTGGAGGCATATCACTTTTTTTTTCAGTGGATGGGTCCTCAACCTTGGTGCAAAACGCCTAAATGATGATTATTGTTTGGTCTTCGTCGGGGTGAGTGTTTCTCTTATTTTATGTGTATAGACGTTATGGGAAAAACTGCAGTGTATCGGCAGTGACCTCTATCTGAACTCTTTAATGTCAACAAACGTCGTTAGTCGTCAATGATTCGTTTATGTTTAGCTAAACCACAAAAAACTATTTAGCTTTGTAACAAACCTTTGTCGAAGTGTTCACTGCCGACACGAGCGTTAGCGAATTCTGCTCCTCCCGACCGCAAACAGGTTTGTAATCCACTTTTCACGGCGTTCTTCTGTCGGCTTTTCCCATTTCTGACCTTTGTGGACGACTATCTTCGGTACTCTAAAAAAATAGCTTTTCCTTCTCTCAGTTAGAACAATTGGCACAGCTGTAAACTACACAACACATCGGCATGTTCCTCCAGTCAGTTCACTTCCTGCCCTCCATCTGATTTTGCGTGCTGACAAACGTAGCCCTGTGACGTCACGTGAAACCCAGATATTTAATTTCTCTCCAGCGACTAGACCAGGAGCCTCCAACCAGTAGCTCTCCACCCTCTTCCAGGTAGCGCACCAAGGGATTTCTGAAAACTGTGTATTGTGGATAATAAGTAAAATTTGATTAATTATCATTGTAAATGTATTATTTTGATGCCTAACTTGGTGCAATGATAAATGGATAATGGTTTATGTTTTATAAGCGTCTAACTGTTCTCCATCTAAAACCGTGGCTCGTATATTTACTCAGTTTCTTTGAGACCGCTGAAATTGGTAGCTCTTTGGCATTTTTGTTTTGTGAAGGTAGCTCACTGGAGGAAAAAGGTTGGAGACCCCTGCTCTAGACGGTTCGCAAAAACCCCGGAAGTGCGAGTCCTGGCACCAACCAATCAGCGTAGAGCCATACATCTGTGTTGGCAACGATTACCGAGCTTGAGGATTTAAAGCCAGAAACAAAGACAATGTTTGGTGAATTTTATCAAGGGGAAAGACGTTATTGTCCTTCTTCCTACGGGATTGGAGAAAAGCTTAATATACCAGTTAGCCCCATTAGCAGCGCATTACATACGTCACGACCAAACAGCAGCGATTGGTTAACAAAACAAAACAAAAGTACTCGTCTACCGTTGAGCGAACAAATCCTAACGCTGCGAGGTCAGACGGTTTCTATAAAGTGAAACCGGCTGATGAATCAGGTTGTAAACGCTGGGCTTGTCTCCCAAAATATGGTCCAGTTCTTGGTAAAATGGACAGGTTACACGTCCATGGCCACTTTGTTTGTTTGAGTCTTTAACCTCCTTGTATTTGGCTCGCAGGCTCTTTATTTTTCGTTGACATTGGAGCCAGGACCGACCGTAGCCGCGCTCGACCATTTCTTTGGCAGTCATTTGAAAAACTGCCAGGTTCTGATGAGACCCCTCCAATTTGTCCTGAATATGATTTCAGTCGCTAACCTCGCTTTCCCTCCATTGACGAGACTCTGAGTCTGACGTGTAGGTGGGATGACTGTGACCTGACCGTTCACACTGAAGTCACATGTCAAAAGATCAGATATGGATCAGTTTCAGGAGCACAGATCCAAGTGTCCTGAGTCGCATTTGAAAACATCGAATCTGTTCAGCGAATCAGTGATATATTCTGTGTTGGCAATAATTCCCGAGATCGAGGATTTAAAGCCGGAATAAAGAGAATGTTTGGTGAATTTTATCAAAGGGAAAGACGTTATTGTCCTTCTCCCTGCGGGATTTGAGAAAAGCTTAATGTACCAGTTACCACCATTCGCGGCGCATTACATACGTCACAACCAAATAGCAACGATTGGTTAAATAAAGAATGTACCCGCCTACTGTCGAGCGAATAAATCCTAACATTGCGAGGTCATTCAGTTTCTACGAAGTGAAACGAAGTGGTAACACTTTATAATAACTACACCTTATTTAGCCTTAATAAAGCATGAACAAAGGCTTAATTAATAATGAACAAAGACTTAATTAATAATGATTCACGCTTAGTAACTACTTAATTACTACCTTAATTAGCACTTGCACTCAATTTGCCTGTGCTGTAAATAGTTACTCATAATTATTTCATACTTAATTACTCATGAACTAACCATTTGAGCATTTATTAATGGTTAATAAACTATGAGAGAATGATTTACTAATAATGTAATGCAATGATCATTCAGGCAGCTGTTATCTGTTAGTTAAGTCTTTTTGAGAGCTTTTCTAAAGTGAAGACGAATTACGCTTTATTAAGCATTTACTAAGCGTGAATCATTATTAATTAAATCTTTGTTCATTATTAATTAAGTCTTTGTTCATGCTTTACTAAGGCTAAGTAAGGGGTAGTTATTATAGTTACCAATGAAGTGAAACCGTCATGCCATGCCTGAATAATAAAAATTTTCACTTTTTTTTTCACAAATGTTTAATTTTTTTCAACATTTTTTCACACTTTTTTTTTTTTTTTTTTACACAAAATGTTTACAGATTTAGTGAACGATAAAATAAAATCTGTATTGTTTGTTAAATTATCATTGATATTAGGGCTGGGTATCATTAAGAGTTGCCGATACGATACACACCTCGATACACAGGCCACGATACGATACATACCTCGATACAGCGCACTTTCGATTCAATATGATATATTTCAAATCGATTCGATACGGTTCAATAAAAAATAAAGGCTAAATCGTGGCTGTGACACTAAAAGTCTTTGTTAAACCACTTCCTTGTGCAAAGTTCATATGAAACACAAACATTTTAATCAACGAAACAGTAAAAAATATCAAAATGTGTTGAATAAATGAGTTTCCTTTCACTCCACAAGCAACAAAACTGTAGTTCTGTAACAAAATAATTTAGTAAAACACACCTAAAAATACTCCTGGCGATATATCGATACAGCAGCCCACGATATCGAAACTGTATCATCACATTAAACGATACGATATATCGATATTCAGATATTTTTACACACCCCTAATTGATATACGTTTTTATTGGTCAGATAAACACAAAAATAATCAAATAAAATGGAGATCATTCAATATGAAGAGTATTTTTAAATATTTCTCTCATTAGATAAATGGATGGATTTTGATTGATTGATAGAAAACTCGATCATACAGAGGCGTGTGAAAGGGAAAGGGTGATGAGAGTGATTAAAAAGGAGGAGAGAGGCAGATTGAGAGAAAGTAAGAGCAGAGAAATAGAGTGAAACAATAGAAAGAGTGAAAGGGAGAGAGCGAGAGGATGGAGAGAAAAGGGGAGGGAGGGGGTCAACGGAGCGGGGAGGGTCTGGAAGATAAACGAGCTGCGTTGAGGGATTGCACAATCAGACTGGTTTGTGAAACAGAGCATCCCTCCTCCTCCTCCTCTTCTCTCTCTCTCTCTCCATCCCTCTCTCCTCCCTCCCTCTCTCTCTTACACCTCTCTCTCCTCCTCTCCGCTGCTGCAGTCCGCCACAGCTCTCGCTCTCGCCTGGCTGCTTTCGCTCGCTCCGCTCCTCTTCCCCACCGCATTCACGCAGCAGCACACGGACACTTTTCTTTACCTCCTCCTCTTCCTCCCGTTCCTCCTCTTCCTTCCCCCCGTTCTCTCTCCTCCTCTCCTCCGTGGATTATTTTTTTTACGGCTCGGGTTTTCGGGGTTTTGTTTTTTTTTTTTCAAAAGCGTTGCGTCCTTGCAGCACGGCGCGGAGCATGTAGGCGTCTAGATGGAGAACGGAGATAGATAAAAACACGAGACGCAGATCGGAGCGTCTTGAAATTCGCGGAGGAATTTCTCAGTATTTTTTAGCTTTTTTTTTTCTTCACCAGATTCGAAACTAACATGAGGAATCCTTAGCTGAAATTTCCTTAGAAGTGCTGCGCCGGAGTTAAGTACCAGCGCCTTCCGATACGCTTTCCGAAATCGCTTCGCCGTGATTGGGTGCATTCACGTACAGACTTATTTCCAACAATCAAAGTTCCTACGGTCTCGCAGGGGAACTACTTTCCGCGCCGCGATGACGAAACCGAACCACTGATCTCGGTTCGTTTCGCGGATCATAAACGAGGTGGAAAATCCGGGACTGTATTTCAAGTTTTCTACGTTTCTAAGAGGTTTTCCGGAGAGCTTTAAGAGGACGATGGCTGCTTTCTCCGCCGTTTACCTGGCTCTGACCCTGGCTATGCTTCTGTCCCACCCCCCTCTGGCTGTAGGGAAGAAGAAGCTGTACATCGGTGCGCTGTTCCCCATGAGCGGGGGCTGGCCGGGGGGTCAAGCCTGCCTGCCCGCCGCCCAAATGGCCCTGGACCTGGTCAACAACCGGAGCGACATCCTGCCGGACTACGAGCTGGAGCTGATCTACTACGACAGCCTGGTGAGTGGGACGAGTTCAACTTCTGCTCACGAGTTTAAAGGTGCACTGTGTGACTTTGCCGGTGGAGAGTCTGATCTGTGGAGAGGCGAGTAACTGCTTTTCTAGGTATTTCTGAGCTGTAAAACCACCTGTGATTGAATAAATGTAAGGTAGAGTTGTTTAATATCCATAAAAATGAGCCAAAAACCTGAAAAGTACATAGTGCACCTTAAATGTTTTTTGATACTTTGCTATGGGGGTGTTCTACATGTGTGCTACCGGTCAAAAGTTTGGACGCACCATCTCATTCAGTGTTTTTTGTGCATTTTAGACACAAAAAACGTCAAATATACGAAGCAATATCTATGGAATTATGTAGTAAAGAAGAAAAGTTAAATAAATTTACTAAATATTTTTCTACAAAGCAAAGTAGCTGATTTGAGGATTTGGTTGTAAAAAAAATATTTAAAAAATTAGTAGTTATTTAAGTGGAATTATGTCGCAAAGAAGAATAAATAAATTAAATATTTTTTACAAAGTCTACAAAAAAAATATTTTTCTACAAAGCAAAATGTAGCTGATTTGAGGATTTGGTTGTAAAAAAAAAATATTTAAAAATGTAGTAGTTATTTAAGTGAATTTTTTTTTTTTTTGTGAAGAAGAAAAATTAAATAAATCTACAAATATTTTTCTACAGCACATATTGTGGTTGATTTCAGGATTTGGTTGTTAAAAAAATATTTTAAAATGTAGTAGTTTTTTAAGTGAATTTTTTTTTTAGCGAAGAAGAAAAGTTAAATAAATCTACAAATATTTTTCTTCAAAGCAAAGTGGCTGATTTGAGGATTTGGTTGTAAAAAATATATTTAAAAAATGTAGTAATTATTTAACTTTTCTTTTTCTTTGCTATGATGTAGAAAAGTATCATGAAAAATGAAAAGGTGTGTCCAAACTTCTGACTGAAAATGTAGAGTTCACATCTGTGAGAGTGAGAAAAACTAACACAAGAGTCCCATGCATGTCAGAACGAGTTTGAAGGAAAGCAGGTTTCAGTGAAGTACAGTGTTTTTCTCTTTGGAGAGGAAATTTTATTATTCAAAAAACTGCAGCCTTGAGATGTGATACTTGCAGTAACTTGAATCGTAATTAAAGGGTTCGTATTACAATATTTTCTACTTTATGTTAGTATAATGTAGTTTCCTTGTCACAAAAACAGACCTGGAGTTGTGTTTTGTTTCATTCACAGGTTTAACACACAAACCCTGCACATTCAGGCTGAGTTTTTCTCTCAAACTCTTTACAAAACTCTGTTCCACCTTGTGATGTCATGTGGTAAAACAGAAAGTTAGTCTCGTAGAACTCGAGGTCCAGGTCTTGAGCTCATTTTTTTTTGTCTTGGTCTCTTCTCGGACTCGACCGTGTTCGCACTTGGTCTTGTCTGGGTCTTGAAGGCACTTGGACTCGGGTCTTGTCTCGGTCTTGAAGGTGCTTGGACTCTGTCTTGTCTTGGTCTTGAAGGTGCTTGGACAAAGTCATGTCTTGGTCTTGTCTTGGTCTTGAAGGCACTTGGACTCGGGTCTTGTCTCGGTCTTGAAGGCGCTTGGACAAAGTCATGTCTCGGTCTTTTCTTGGTTTTGAAGGCACTTGGACTCAGTCTTGTTTCAGTCTTGAAGGCGTTTGGATTCGGTCTTGTCTCGGTCTTGAAGGAGCTTGGCCTTGGTCTTGTCTTGGTCTTGAAGGTGCTTGGACAAAGTCTGTCTCGGTCTTGAAGGCGCTTGGACTCGGTCTTGTCTTGGTCTTGAAGGCGCTTGGACAAAGTCATGTCTCGGTTTGTCTCGGTCTTGAAGGCGCTTGGACTCGGTCTTTTCTTGGTTTTGAAGGCACTTGGACTCAGTCTTGTTTCAGTCTTGAAGGCGTTTGGATTCGGTCTTGTCTCGGTCTTAAAGGAGCTTGGACTCCGTCTTGAAGGAGCTTGGCCTTGGTCTTGTCTTGGTCTTGAAGGTGCTTGAACTCAGTTTTGTCTCGTTCTTGAAGGTGTTTGGACTCGATCTTGTCTCGCTCTCGAGGTCTGACACTTGACGAGTGATAAAATGAAGATAAATTTATAAAAACATTGATATATTTGTGCCAGAATAACTATAAAACACCAATAAATGTCAAAAATTACAGAGATGGTCTTGATTTGGTCTTGATTTGGTCTTGATGGGTCGTGGTCTTGGTCTTGTCTCAGTCTCGACCCTCAGACGTCTTGGTCCTGGTCTCGGGACCCTGTGGTCTGGGACTGGTCTTGGTCTCCATTAGTGCGCTCTTCTCACACCTTCACTAGAATCATTTGGATCATTTCACTCCTGGAATTACCAAACGTCTACTGAACTGAAGGTAAAAGGAGCTGTTAACTTCAAAACTACCACATCATGACATCACAAGGTGGAGCAGAACATTTTGAGCTTTGGAGATGTAGACAGATGAATAATAAAGAGTTACTCAAACATGTGTGAATGAAACAAAACACAACTCCAGCTCTGTTTTTGGATTATTCTAACGTGACTAAAATGTCACAAGAGTCAATTTTGCGTAATGTAAAATTGTGACCTAATTGTGCAGCTTTTTAATATTACGTTCTGAACTGTTAATCGCCATGGCAACAGTGATAGATTTTCATCACTCTGAAACGCGCGGACGTACGGCCCGCCGGGAATATTGGCGTAAGTGTAAAAGTCCACGGTGATTTATGGGGACATTTGTGTTGAATTTTCATACGACTCTCTGAACACGTGTAGTTCTTAAGTGTCCGAGATCAGAAGAGACGTGTGACGATATTTACTGACATTTACTAAGATCTAAAAGTGACAGATTTTTTTTTTTTTTCTTTGTGTGTGTAAAATATTTATTATACCACCTGCATCCAATTCACTTAAAGATATTACGCAAAATTGACTCTTGTGAGCTTTAAGTCAAGTTATAATGTTGTTTCCTCGTCAAAAACAGACCTGGAGTTGTGTTTTGTTTCATTCGCACACGTCTGAGTAACTTTATTATTTGTCTGTCTAACTCAAAATGCTCTGGTCCACCTTGTGATGTCATGAATTTGTAGTTTTCAAGTCAACAGAACAGTTTTTACCTCCTTTTAGTTCAGAAAAAATCTGCAATTCCAAGGTCTGAAATCACCTAAATGATTCTAGTGAAGGTGTGTGGAGTTTTAAAACGCGGTGGAGCACTTCATGACATCACAAGGTGGAAGTGAGTGTTGTAGAGAGTTTGAGGGAAAAACTCAGCCTAAATATGCAGGTTTGTGTGTTAAAAATGTGTGAATGAAACAAAAAGGCACTTCAGATGTGTGTGTGTTTTTAAAATAAAGAAACAACATAGATCAGAAAATACTGTCATAAAACCGCTTTAAAACTTTAACTAATACTATTTTATGTTTGTATATTTGTATTTTTTTTTAAGGAAAATTTTGAAATAATGAGGAAATGTGTGTAGAGTTGTTTAACCCTCCAGGCGCCGCTGTCGAGTTAAGTTGACAAGATGCAGCTCTGAATAAAACGGGCGATTTTGCCAAATAGGGTGTTAAATTTCATTCAAGATGAACCAGGACTGAACCAGGACTGAACCAGGACTGAACCAGGACTAAACCAGGACTAAACCAGGACTGAACCAGGACTAAACCAGGACTGAACCAGGACTGAACCAGGACTAAACCAGAATGAAAATAGGACTAAACCAGGACTAAACCAGGACTGAACCAGGACTAAACCAGAATGAAAATAGGACTAAACCAGGACTAAACCAGGATTAACCAGGTCTAAACCTGACCTAAACCAGGACAAAAATAGGACTAAACCAGGATAAAAATAGAACTGAACCAGGACTGAACCAGGACTAAACCAGGTCTAAACCAGGACTAAAACCAGGATGAAAATAGAACTGAACCAGGACTAAAACCAGGACAAAAATAGGACTAAATCAAGACTAAACCAGGACTAAACCAGGACTAAACCAGGTCTAAACCAGGATCTAAACCAGGACTAAACCAGGACTAAAATAGGACTAAACCAGGACTAAACCAGGACTAAAACCAGGTCTAAACCAGGACTAAACCTGAAACTAAAACAGGACTAAATAGGACTAAACCAGGACTAAACCAGGACTAAACCAGGACTAAACCAGGTCTAAACCAGGACTAAACCAGAATGAAAATAGGACTAAACCAGGACTAAACCAGGTCTAAACCAGGTCTGAACCAGGACTAAACCTGAACTATAAACCAGGACAAAAATAGGACTAAACCAGGATGAAAATAGGACTAAACCAGGGCTGGACCAGGTCTGAACCAGGTGTAAACTAGGTCTAAACTAAGGCTAAACCAGGACTAAACCAGGACAAAAATAGGACTAAACCAGGACTAAACCAGGTCTAAACCAGGTCTGAACCAGGTCTGAACCAGGCTTAAACCAGGACGAAAGTAGGACTAAACCAGGCCTTAACCAGGACCAAGACGTCAAAATCGAACGTTTTAGGGAAAAAAAAAAACTCTGGCTCCTGAAGAGTTAAACAACAACATATTTTTTATATATTTGTTAATAATTCTAATATTACCAAAGGGACCAGAGTCGTTCAGAATCAAGAAACTGGAAACTGACTCTTTTCCAGCTGTTTTCACCTGCTACTCTGCACTTTACTTTTAACATTTGAACATTTATATAAATACACTTTGTCATGGAAATATTAGGAGCGGCAAAAGCAAACCATTTCAGCACCATGTATTATTTTCATCTGTGTTAGACTTTCTGCAGTTCCACATCTTCAACTCAACACATTTTGGAAATTTTCTTGAGTTATTTCTCCTAATATTTGTTTCTTTGTTCAGTCTGTATGTAGAACCAGAGCGACTGATCACACTTGTTAGAATGACGTTCGTATAACTCTTCAGATCCACAACAAAATCCAATCCAACATGTGCTGCACTGACATATTAACACAATAAAAGACAGTAAATCATAAATTCCTATGACCTATAT